AAGAGATTGCCTCAGGACACAATCCAGTCTTGTAGATCAGGTCCTGCCTTACTAACACAACTGCCACCCATCCTCCCTCATTAACTTCATAGAGGCAGGATTTACAACATACAGGAAAATCACACAGTACCAGGAATCATGGCCTAACCAAACTGATACGCACATTTTTGGGGGGACATAATTCAAACGATGACACCAAGCATGACTGGGACTTCAGGGACTGGTCCCTCCTGATAACATGTCCAAAGTAAGTGAGATGAAGTCTCACCATCCTCACTAATGAGCATTCTGTCTGTACTTCTTCCAAGACAGATTTATTTGTTCTTCTGGCAGTTCGTGGTGTATTCAATATTCTTCACCAGCACCATAGTTCAAAGGCATCAACTCTTCTTTAGTCTTCCTTGTTCAGCTTTCACATGCATGTGAGGTGATTGAAAATATCATGGCTTGGGTCAGGTGCACCTTAGTCCTTAAAGTGACATCTTTGCTTTTTAACACTTTAAAGAGGTGTTTTGCAGCAGATTTGCCCAATGCAATGCATCCTTTGATTTCTTGACTGCTGCTTCCATGGGTGTTGATTGTGGATCAATGTAAAATAAAATCCCTGACAACTTCACTATTTTCTTCATTTATCATGATGTTGCTTATTGGTCCAGTTGTGAGGATTTTTGTTTTCTTTATATTGAGGTGTAATCCATGCTGAAGGCTGTGGTTTTTGATCTTCATCAATAAGTGCTTCAAGTCCTCTTCACTTTCAGCAAGGAAGTTGGTGTCATCTACATATCGAAGGTTGTTAATGAGTCTTCCACCAATCCTGATGCCCCATTCTTCTGCAAATAGTCCAGCTTCTCAGATTATTTGCTCAGCATACAAATTGAATAAGTATGGTGAAAGAATACAACCCTGACGCACACCTTTCCTGGCTTTAAACCACGCAGTATCCCCTTGTTCTGTTTGAACAACTGCCTCGTGATCTATGCACAGGTTCCACGTGAGCATAGTTAAGTGTTCTGGAATTCCCATTCTTCATAATGTTATCTATAATTTGTTATGATCCACACAGTTGAATGCCTTTGCATAGTCAGTAAAACACAGGTAGACATCTTCCTGGTATTCTCTGTTTTCAGCCAAGATCTGTCTGACACCAGCAAAGATATCCCTTGTTCCACGTCCTCTTTTGAATCTGGCTTGAATTTCTGGCAGTTCCCTGTTGATGTGTTGCTGCAACTGTGCATAGGGTTTAAAAAAATCTATATGGTTACAATATTTGTCTGTGTGTGTGTGTATATATATGTATATATATCTCCATGGGAGTCCCTGGGTAGTGCTTACCTGCTAACTGAAAGGTTGGAAGTTTGAGTCCACCCAGAGGTGGCTTGAAGGCCTGGCAATCTACTTCCGAAAAAATCAGTCATTGAAAACCCTCTGGAGAACAGTTCTACTCTGGCACACGTGCGGTTGCCATGAGTCGGAGTCAACTCAATGGCAGCTGGAATATATCTATGTGTATGTACACATATGTATTTGTAGAATTCTTCCTCTTGTATAACTTGTACAATTTTCCATCTTGCTTTTTAAAATAATTTATGCTATCAGTATATTTATGCCATTCACTTCATTAATTTTAAGAGCTTAATTATAAACAATCTGGTGGATATAGAGTAATTGGCTTTATCATTCCTTGACAGAGGAAAATTTAGGTTTCCATATTTTAGTTATAAATGAAACTGGGTCAGATGTCTTTATGTTTGAAGATGCCTCTATATATGGGTTCGTTTCCACAGAAATTTTTCCTAGAAAGGTTTCTTTTAGGTTAGTGGGTGCAAATATTTTTAGGCTCCTGATACATATGAACATCCACGTCTAATATTTTTATCCTTATGATCCTCAATCAATGCTTAACCCAGTGCCCCTAGTCACTCAGGGACTGTTTGATGAATGAATGAATGACTGAAACATGACTTTCTTCCTGTTCCTCTAGCATGGGATTCCCAACCCAGTGCCTTCCATCTAGGGAAGGCTTTGGCCATGCCGCACAGCACCATCACATCTGCCCCCTCCATGTGGTTAGAGCGGTTGAGGAAGCACAGAAGTTTCAGCTCTGAGGGAAGAAAGGGACTGGAGAGTTCATGAATAGATCAGTGGTTATGAGAAGGGTCTGGCTAAGAATAGCCCTGGGTTGACACACACCCCTTTCCTCCCACTCACGAGCAAAATTTCCCTAAAAGAAACCAGAACAAGTTATGACTGGAGGCCTGAGACTTCTAGCTCAGAGATGCTATTCTTGGATATCTTGAGCCCTGTGGTCTCCTGGGGCCCTGCGTTGCACAACACTCAGTATGACAGCACCACTAAGCTTAAAAATTTCCTCCCTTGCACCCAATTTCCATTTCCCATTAGCCAGGGCTGCCTATAAAGAGAAGAGGAGATGGCTTCAGACTTCAGAAGGAGCCAGTGGTGGTGAATAGACCAGTCCCAACTCCACTCTGCTGATACTCGGACCCACTCTCCTGTCCCTGCTCAGCACCATGAAGGTCCCTGTGGCTGCCCTTGCCCTCCTCCTCTGCATCGTGGCCCTCTGTGCCCAGGTCTTCTCTTCACCAGGTGAGTCTGTGTGTTCTTTCAGCTGTCTCCCTCCCTGGCCACAGCGAGACCACATCAATCTTTACTCGTGGCTTGACAGCCCCAAGAGAAAGTAGAAAACTTCTTAAAGGGTTACAAAACATCTCAGTCTGTTTGTTCAATGCTTTTATTTTCATTGTTATAAGGGAGTCTTAGCACAATGTCTGCCTAGAATAAGCCGATGACAGTCACTCAATTCTTACCAATCACGCTATGAATGAAAGGGGAGGGTGGGGTGGTGGAGATGGTGTCCTGGTTTGTCTCGGAGCAAACAAGTCACAAACACAATTCCATATTGAAAATAAATTACAAAAATTAAATAGTATAAATAAATTAAAGTTAACAAGAGTCACAGAGTGTGGTCTCCAGATGTGAGGATCAGGGTGGCATAGAGGAGTTACAGTCCCATTTTACAGATAGCAAAATGGCACCCTAAATAAATGAGTTTTGCAAGGAGCAGAATCCAGGATTGGTTACTTCCTAGTGGTGTCATCCATCCACTAATTTGCCCTAGGTCTTCCCAAGACTTCTGTCCCTTGAGTGTCTTATGAGAGATGCCCAAGGTTTCTCTTTGGCTGGGGTATGACCTCTTGACTCTGATAAAATTCCCTGAATGGAAATGAGATAAGAGAATATTCTACTTGGATATCTGGATCACATAAAGAGCCAAAATAAAGTCAAAAGGAGTAAAAAAAAAAATAATAGAGTCAGAACGAAGACTCAAAGAGAAAGAAGAATACTGACAGAAACAAAGAAAGAATCAGGGACGTTTCAGGGAAAAAAGGCCCAAATGCCTTCCAAGGACCTCATACCGCAACCCCAATCCTTCAACGAGGCTGTCTTCCCCGGCGTCTTCCTCACCCTGTCAGGGGTCAGGAGAAGCTGCCTTGCCTTTTCTTCTGAACTGTGACTCAGGCTCATTCTGCTCCTTCTTCCACAGTTGGTGCCGACACTCCGACTGCCTGCTGCTTCTCCTATGCCCCCCGGCAGATTCCGCGCAAATTTATAGCTGCCTATTATGAGACCAGCAGTCAGTGCTCCAAGCCTGGCATCATGTAAGTACTAGTCTTCCTGTCCACTTCTGGGGGGACAAGGGAAGGCCTGGGGTGGGGAGCATCTCCAAGGGTACACAAAAACCAGAGGAGCCATCTGAGAAAGCTCAGCCTTCTAGGAGTCTAGAAAATGTGCAGGACAAAGCCAGTCTCTGAGGTGGTCCTGATCTGGCCAGGGACTTACAGAGTTAGGGAGGGCTGCCCCAGCCCAGAGGGAAGAGGGGGAAGAAGGAGGCACAGCTGGAGCCTCTAAGGAGCCCCCAAGAGCCTCTGAGAGAAGCTTCTAGACTGAAATAGGCAGAGGATCCCTGAGGAAGTGGGCAGGCCCTGTGCTGCCCAGGACAGATAAGGATGAAGGGGCCACAATGGACCCAAGATTCCCCTGCTGAATTCCTCGTGTTTAATCTTTCGACCTCTCTCCACAGCTTCCTAACCAAAAGAAACCGGCAGGTCTGTGCCAACCCCAGTGAGGCCTGGGTCCAGGAATACGTCACTGACCTGGAACTGAGTGCTGCAAGGAGCCCAGTGACCTCTGTGGACAGACTGGAGAGAAGGGCCTGAACCTCAGAAACATCCCTGCAACCTCCACAGCTACCTCTCCTATCACCGGCGTATCTACGGAAAATGACACCTATGGCAATTAGTTTTAAATTGCTGAATGATCTCTCATAGCTGATAGTAGAAACTGTGATGGCCAATACATACTGCTCATTGGCGCCCGTCCACCCCCAAGTGGCACCCAGAGCATGCGCCCTACCTGCCATACCTTAGATACACCTCTGCTATGGCTAATGGCCAACCACACTCTGTGACTCTTGTTAACTTTTAGTTTATTTATACTATTTAATTTTTGTAATTTATTTTCAATATGGAACTGTGTTTGTGACTGGTTTGCTCTGATATAAACCAGGACACCGTCTCCACCACCCCATCCTCCCCTTTCATTCATAGTGTGATTGGTAAGAATTGAGTGACTGTCATTGGCTTATTCTAGGCAGACATTGTGCCAAAGCCACCAGACTGACAAATAAGCATTGGATGCACTGAATAATAAAGATGCTTTTTTTAAAAAGTAAACCAGCATTGAGTTTGATTTTGTTCTTCTGGCAAAGCCAGAAGAGAATAATAGGCAAAGAATAGGAAGATGTGTGTCTTAGTTTTGGAACTTAATTGTACCATTTACCTGCTGTGTGATCTTGGCCAAATTACTTAACCTCTCTGAGCTCTGGTTAACTCTTCTGTTGTATGGGAATATCAATAGTACTGTAGAGGTCCTGGTGGTGCAGTGGTTAAGAGCTCGTCTGCTAACCAAAAGGTCGGCAGTTTGCTCCTTGGAAACCCTATGGGGCAGTTCTACTCTTTTCAATAGTGTTGCTATGAGTCAGAATCAACTTGATGGCAATAGGTTTGGTTTTTTGGTTTGGTATAGCACCTGTAAGGAGCCCTGGTGGCGCAATGGTTAAGCACTAGGCTGCTAACCAAAAGGTCAGTGGTTTGAACCCCCCAGTGGCTCCATGGGAGAAAAGACCTGGTGATGTGCTTCTGTAAAAATTTCAGCCTTGGAAACCCCGTGGGACAGTTCTGCCATGTCCTGTAGGGTCACTGTGAGCCAGAATCCACTCAACAGCGATGGGTTTGGTTTGTTTTTTTTTAATGCTGTACTATTGCACTGTGAGGATTAAATGGACAATGCATATAAAGCACTCAGCCTAGAATAAGTCTAAAAAAGTTAGCAATTATTATTCAGAAACTTTGATTTATCATAAATATGTGATATAAATAGTCTTCTTAACGGTATCCATTCAAGTAGTGAATTTTCCTAGAGCATGCAAATTATGATTTGATTTACAAAATATTCATCTGTTCCAATGTTCTGGAATATGCCTCCAGTGTAAAGTGAATGTAACTGTGGTAGCCCACCTTCAATCTCTCTCAACTTCCCTCCATTCCACACTGTCATGGATTGAACTGTATCCCCCAAAATATGTGTGAATTTGGCTAGACTATGATTTCCAGCATTGTGTGGTTATCCCCCATTTTGTGATCTGATGCAATTATCCTCCATTTTGTTATGCATTGTAATCCTAAACTGTGATGTTAATGAGGCAGGATTAGGTTGTAATTTATCTTATTCAAATCACCACCTTTACCAGAGTCGCCACGCTTGCTTGAGTCACATCTTTTATCTCACAGAGACTGTGCTTTTCACCACTAGCCTAGCCCTCTGGGAGTCTAGTAAATGTGCAGAACATAGGCATTTCAGAGTCTGAGACTTGATCGAGATCCTTGGTCAGCCCCGGTAGTTCCTAGCTCTCCTCCCTAGGGAATATCCTCCCTAGACACATCCGAGATGTACATTGGGAAGGATCCCTTTCCTGGGGGCTACCTACTTCCTGTCGGTGTGAGTTAAGAGCCTGGGGTTTGCTACAGGCTTTGAGTGGTCAAGAGCTGTTTGGGGCAGGTCTTCTGGTTTCTTTGGCAATATAACTTCCTGCTAATGATCATAGGCTTCTGACTGATTTTTTTCTGATCAGTTGCATAGGCTAGATCACCAGAAGCAGAGCTTGTCAAGTCATACATTCTGCATTTTAACTAGGGTTGGGAATGTGCAGAATGGTGCAAACAGTTAGCACACTCAGTTGCTAACCAAAGGTTGGCAGTTCCAGTCCACCTAAGGCCACCTCAGAAGAAAGGCCTGTGATCTAGTTCTGAAAAATCAGCCATTCTGAAGACCCTATGGAGCACAGTTTTACTCTGACACACACGGGGTTATCATGAGTCAGAATCAACTCTATGGAATCTGGTTTGGGAATATGAGCTTCCTAGCACAGGCCTCTAGGGTCACTTTGAGTCAGAATTGACTCAACAGCAACGGCTTTTTGGTTAGCACAGGCCTCAATACTGTCGCCCGATTAGGGTCCGTGCCCTGGAGCAGTCAAACCAATGAAGCGTACTCCAAGTCAAAAAGAGAGAGAAAGTTTATTAGGAGGTAACACCAACGGATGGCAAGAGAAAAAATCTATAGGAAAAAGACAAATGCATTATAGTGAAAACATGGTTTTCCTGCCCAGTATCTATATTACAGTCTTCCTGATATCGGAACCCCAAATTTCCTCTGGAAAGCACTCTTCCCTACAATTCTCAGAATTCAAAATTTATGTGAAATTCATCCACATAGGTGGTGTTGTTTTGTTTCCTCCTTGAAACTTCCACCATCCTGAGATATACAGAGATTTGTATCTGCACACTAACTCAAAGAAGCTTGAATAAATAAATCTTGTGGCCCTAAGACTGAAGGGCACAAAGGTGACTCTGGCTTCAGGGAGGTCGGGTATAAATTAATCAGTTTTTCTCTTTCTGATCTCCCTTCCATGTGAAAGGGTCCCAGGATGGCTGTTGGTACCTTCATTGCTATATGAATCCTTGTTCATTTTCATCAGGGAAAAGAGGCTTGCGCTCCCATTGGTTCTTTTGGATTTGACTAACTTAATTCAGGAACACAATTCCTAACCGATCGCTGCGGAGACGGGTTTCACTGGTTTATTCAAATTAATCAAGGCTCATACCTGCATCTGTGGGTTGGATGAATTTCACATAAATTTGAATTCTGAGAACTGTAGAGAAGAGTGGCTTCCCAGAGGAAATTTGGGATTTCAATATCAGGAAAACTGTAATATAGATGCTGGGCAGGAAAAACATGTTTCCTCTATAATGCGTTTATCTTTTTCGTATTGATCTTTTTTCTTGCCATCTGAGGGGCACTAACCCTTTTCATAGGTCTCTGAGTCGTGCAAACAGTTTGTACTTGGCTGTTAACCGAAAGTTTGGCAGTTCGAATCCACTTAGTGACACGCACAGCCACTGAAAACTACAGAGTACAGTTCTACTCTGAAACACTTGGGGTCACCATGAGTCTGAATCAGCAATGACACAGGTTAACTCTTCTTGTGCGATGAGCATTTCTTCTCCTTTGCTTTCTAACATCAGAAACTATGAGTCCTTCATTTTTAAAAAGATGCTGACATGCGTATTTCCTATTGCCCTATAAATGACTATTGCCAAAATCTGTGGCTACAATGGAATACCACACAACAATAAAGAAGAACGATGAATCCGTGAAACATCTTATAACATGGAGGAATCTGGAAGGCATTATGCTGAGTGAAATTAGTCAGTCGCAAAAGGACAACTATTTTATGAGACCACTATTATAAGAACTCAAGAAAAGGTTTAAACACAGAAAACATTCTTTGATGGTTAAGAGGGTGGAGAGGGAGGGAGAGGGCTATTCATTAGCTAAAGGGTAGACAAGAATCATCTTAGGTGAAGGGAAGGACAACACACACTACAGGGGAAGTCAGCACAACTGGACTAAACGAAAGCTAAGAAGTTTCCTGAATACAACCAAACACTTCAAGGGACAGAGTAGCAGGGGTGAGGGTCTGGGGACCATGGTTTCAGGGGACATCTAGGTCAACTGGCATAACAAAGTTTATTAAGAAAATGTTCTACATCCCACTTTGGTGAGTGGCGTCTGAGGTCTTAAAAGCTAGCAAGCAGCCATCTAAGATGCATCAATTTGTCCCAACCCACCTGGAGCAAAGGAGAATGAAGGACACCAAGATACAAGGAAAGTATTAGCCCAAGAGACAGAAAGGACCACGTAAACCAGAGACTCCATCAGGTTGAGACCAGAAGAACTAGATGGTGCCTGGCTACCACCAATGACTACCCCAACAGAGAACAGAACAGAAAGTCCCTGATGCAGCAGGAGAAAAGTGGGGTGCAGAACTCAAATTGTAGTAAAAAGACCAGACTTAATGGTTTGATTGAGACTGGAGGGACCCCAAAAGACATGGCCCCAAGCCTCTCTGTTAGCCCAAAACTAAAACCATTCCCAAGGCCAACTCTTCAGACAAAGATTAGACTGGACTACGGGACATAAAATGATACTCGTGAAGAGTGTGCTTCTTAGCTCAAGGAAATACATGAGACTAAATGGGCCGTTTCTGTCCAGAGGCAAGATGAGAAGGCAGAGAGGGTCAGGAGCTGGTTAAATGGACACGGGAAATCCAGGGTGGAAAGGAGGAGTGTGCTGTCACAGTATGGGGAGAGCAACTAGGGTCATATAACAACATATGCATAAAATTTTTGTATGAGAGACTACGTTGAATTATAAACTTCCACTTAGAGCACTACAATTTTAAAAAAAAGTCTGTGGCTAAAGAGGCATTAAGCTCTTCACAGTGTAAAAGTAACTGCCAGAAAGGGGCTACACAGCCACTCCAAAACATACTAAGAAGTGGCAGAACTGGCCCTACCACGATCACCTCCCACCCTCCTTTATATTAGCAGAAGACTAGGGAAGGGGAAAATGAGGGAACTCTCAGAATAATGAGTAGTCCATTGAGATTGTCCATATTGGGGGAGAGAAGGGAGTCCTTTAGTGTTGGATGGACAAAGGGGTAACGACAGAGGATATCACATGCTTGCTTCTTCTATTCCTCCGTTTTCCTGGAACGAGTGTCCAAAATTTGGCTACCTGCCCTGGTGGCACAATGGTTAAGTGCTACGGCTGCTAACCAAAAAGGTTGGCAGTTTGAAACCTTGGAAACCCTATGGGGCAGTTCTACTCTGTCCTATAGGGTTGCTATGAGTTGGAATCGACTTGGTGGCAATGGGTTTGTTTTTGTTGTTGATGTTGTAATTATATGATACTGACCACACCCCCAGCTACTGGAATGGGTCCTGATTAGAATAAGACAATGTGCATCTTGAGTTTTTTAAAACTTATCATTAAAACATAAGCACTTCCCAAGTCATTACATTGTTTCTATAAGGCTGGCTAATATTCAATCAACTGAACACACCATAATTTCCTTATGCATTTCCACATTGTAAGCTATGTAAACTAAGTTTGATTTCAAATTGCTATAAATATGCTGGAGACCGAATGTTCCCATGCATAAACTTTTTTCCACATGTGAATTTATTTACATAGGAATCCATTCCTAGACTTGGGCTTTCTTGGGCTTTCAAAGGGTAAGAAGCCAGAGCCACCTCTGTAAACTTTTAAGGTTCTTGAGCCATATTAGCTAGCATATCTAACACATCTTTGTGTCCT